AGAGTGGTCGCGCTTGAGTATTAAATGGAACCTGTTTACTGGCGCCTCTATGTGTACAAAGCTACGAAGAACTATGTAGCCACGGATATTTCCAACGGGTAACACATCCATGGTCTTTGACTTAATTGTTCAGTGTTACCTGAGAGAAATCTAAGACAAGCCATCCTCTCCGGCGTTTTTTGTGGATGTGTTAGAGAAAGAAGCCCATACAGCACTTACATGGATACAATGGATACATCCATTTTCGATTCGGGGACTACATATAGCTACGAGCTATGTACTAACGATAAAATCAATAACGCGATTTACGTTAAACCTATGATCTCGAAAAAAAAATTGTGAAAGCAACTTCAATAAAAGAAAATACAGACTTATAACTACGAAACTTATGTAAAATTAATTTATATAATTTCAAAAATTTAAACTCTTTTGTACTTTACGTTAATAACAATTTACAAAATAAAGTTTTAAAATTATCTCGGTAAAATATTTTCTTATCATTTTATTTTATTTAAAACTTTAGAATCAAATAAAAAATTATTTTGACAAACATAATGATCGGCATAACTCTATGAATAACGATGAACTCTATTTTGCCCTGTGTGTACAAAGTATACCGCCCGCATTACCTCAAACACAGTATCGATAAATATGGTATCAAGGCTAACTATTTATCAAGTAAATATTAAAATTATATTATAAACAATTCATTGTCATTATTTAATATGTTTACGAGATATATTTACTTGCTATATGTACACTTGACATAATTAATCGTAGATTCCGAGATTCATTACCTTATGATAGAAAATTAATAACTAATCAAATAAAACATTGTTAAAAAGAATATATTGTTAAATGACCAAATGTGTTGGTGCATTTTTGTTTTAGCATTATTTAAAAAAATTACACATTCTGAGTTGTGACAATTCTAAAGATTCTTTTTTAGTCCTCCACCTGGATCTTTTTCAACATACGCAAAATTCAACTCTCAAATTTCATCTTTATTTTTGCTTAAATTTCAATTTTTTTAAGTTGAAAAAATATTCAGTATTGTAATAGAGATGTTAAAAATTAACTTTTTTTAAAACCTTACAGATTAATAAAAAGATTTTGGTTGGTTTAAAAAGATGCAAATTGCATATGAAGAGAGTAAAAATATATGTGTAATTACAGACAGATTAAAAATTACTCTTTTTAAGTTCCGACGAATTTTTATTATAAAGTTATGTTAGAACATTTTTTAAATTGATAATAGATAAGATAAAATTTACTTATTTTATCCATAGTAATAAAAAAATTACGTTTTTAAAAATTATGTTACTTTTTTGAAGTAAAGAATTCTTAAAAATAAAATGCTTGATAAACATAGAGCAATAATTCGAAATTCAATTTTTACTGAATTCTATATCTTTATTCCTATGATAACTTTTAAAAATTAATAAATGTATGCATATACATATATTATATGTATACATATGTAAGATTTACATGTATATATACATAAATGTAAAATGATGAAAGGAAAGGATTAAGAGTATTTTAAATGTAATAAGGAAGTAGTCAACGTTTCCATGTATATCATTATGTATTTACAATTTGACAACAAAATGTTAAACGTAACAGATAGCCTCGCCCTCGGCCGGAAAGTATAATCGAGGTATCGTTCTAGAAGAGCGCGAGGCCAGAGAGAGCTAAAGGTCTCACATAAATATAATAATATCCGTCATATAATAATTTATTACAATGTGTAATATGTGTATAATATATATAATATGTTATTCAAATTTCTTAAACATCTGCTTAACTGCTCGACATATTTTTTCTTTTCGTCTTCTTTCTTTCCTAACTCTTCTTCCGCTCTCTTTTAATTACTATTTACCAGCTTTGTTCCTTAATTTTTAATATATTCGGATTGTCCCGTACTTGATGATGTGATATCGTACAACGCCCACAACATTTATTTTACGTTTGCGAGTGCTGCTAAAATTTACGTTCGGCGATATGGCGTCGTTTTCTTCGTTTTTTTCCAATCTCGAACGTATCTAGATCATTTCGCCATTATTTCTGTCAGACATCTCACGGCTCCAAGATATTTTTACATTCTTCCTTCATCCACATTTTATGAGCAGGTGTTTTTGCAGCCAATTTGGGATCTTTCCGCTCTATAAACTCGAATTAGTTCAATTACAAAAGTATAAGATCCTTCTAGGACGGTAAGATCCTTTGATTATGAGGACCCAAAGATTTAAGGATTTCAGGAGCTAACTAAGCCACTTCGTGGCCGCGATCGTCTCGTTTTGCTCAGAAAGCAAGCAAAATGCAGCCTTTGACATCAGGTTTAGTAAAGGTGCATATGTACAAAATTTTGACTTTCGTCTATCGATTTATCGATATATGTGGTTCTTTGCAAGGAGGATTTTTGTAACGTTCAAAGTTTATCAATTTTTTAATCTTCAAATTTAAAGATTAAAAATTTTAAACTTTCAGTTTTACATTTAATTTAAAACATTTTAATAAATTTATTTTATGTAAAAGAAAGGGTCATAAATTAGTAACAAAAGTATTTAGTTTTAATAGTAGAAATTAACTCTCTTTTGTTTTTATTTCTGCACATACGTATACTTCGTTTAATATCTTTAAATAAATGTATAAATTTTATTTTGTCAATTTATCATTTCATGAAATATGAAAAGAATTGCAATTCGAATGTGTGTGTGTGTGTGTGTGTGTGTGTGTGTGTGTGTGTGTGTGTGTGTGTGTACGCGCGTGTGCGTGCGTACGTGCGTGTGCGTAAACCTTTCGTGTTATTTTTTGTAGTTTTGTGGCAGTGTATTACGCATAGTAGTTTTACACGTTAGTCTTTATTTTACACCTATATATGTATATATTTATACAAAAAAAGATAATCACATACCATGTATCCGATGTTCTTATGGTATAGTATATGTATTTGATGGATGTCAAGCTTTGAAGAATCTATACCACATGATTAAATACATCGGATTGTTTTGTGGTGTTTTGTAAGAGTAACAGTTCCGAAGGAAATCGACTTACGTTGTGGATGACATATTTAAATGCAAAACACGTTAATTAACAAGACTTATCATTCTGTAAAAATTTTAAGAATTTAAAGGAAGTATAAAAGATATGAAAGTGTGAACAATATTACAGCTGCTTTGTAGTAGTTCATATTTAGTACAAAGAGATAAATGTATCGGAATAAATGAAGAAAAAATTAGAAACATCCATGACAATGATTGAAATTGTCCGGTTTCATTATACATAAAACACATATGTGTGTAGATACGCGTACACGGAGAGGATATAAAGATCATGTTATGTGCGTATCATGTATCATAATTCATATGTGCAATACATACGTTCGCATTAAAGCCACCTGCATGGCAGTCGTATTAACTGGAGCAATGATAACGAGCGATATCGTTTACATTGATAGTTTCCTTTCACGTTAGCCTCAATTGTAATACTAGAACTTCACCTTTATAAATAAATTAAAGTTTTACAAGAAAAATTTACACACAATTAAATATCCTATAAAAGAATAATTAAAATTTAAAAAGATTCGAGAGAAAACTACAAGTTTAATCAATTAAAGAATCCATTCTAATCAATGAACAATCGCTCGTTATGCTCTCGAAATAGTTTTTCCACATTCTACATTACAACAACATGACGTCACGTGTGGATATCAACACATCAACCGGAAAACAAAAGATAAATGATACGTGTGATGTATATATATAGTTCTCTTAGAAAGTAACAAACTTTGGCGTTCTTACGGTATATATGTATATATATATGTGTGTGTGCATATATATATATACATATATACATATAAATTCATGTTATGTACAAGGAACATCTAACACTGTAGTGGCTAGAGTATTTCTTTTTTACATCTTCATCGCCGTCGATTTATATTGAGCCGTCCACCATTTTTCTCGTCTCTTTTAACGACTAGAGATTTTTTATTATCGACTAATTAGCGAAATGCGTCTCTTTGATTTTTTCGCACAAAATTTGATTTGATTCCGATTGATCCAGGATGATCGCTTAACTTGCTATTTTTCTTTCTTACGTATTTCCATAAATATTAACCAAAGTCTACCGAATATAAAAATTTTAGCTTTTAAGCAAGGCGTTGTTCATTTGTACTGCTTCTTTCGTTTATTAAGAGGTTAAATCAATAATTATTAAGATTGTGAAGATATTCAAGCAAAACATAAGTCATCATAACAAAAATGATATCAAAATAATTCCGAAATGATTATTATCCTTTAAGTAGAATTATATAAATGGTTTACGCAAATTGATAGGTGGAATAGACTTGGAATACTAAAAAATTTTTTTTAATTTTACAGTTTTATTTTATTAGTATGTATAGTTAAATTTACATTAATTATATTATAGTCTTATGGGAGATAGAGGAATGTGTAAAAATAATTAATTTTAAGATTTCTAGGCCACTGGGCGCAATACTTTTTTATCCTCCTTTACCAGAATAAAGTTTTAAAGAAAATTCTGCATGCGGTGGCTACTTCATCTCTATTTACTCAAAAGCTAAAAGTTACTCTTCAATCATTTATGACTCATCTTAACATCATTTTGATATGAACCAGTTTTGCTTAAGATATTTTTTCAGAAACCTTTTACATACTGTTTAAATCGTAAACTATGCTCTTACTAACCAATTATTTTGATTACACAAAATCGTAATCTTTAAAGAATTTTTAAATCACCACATTTTTATTATGTTTATATTGTAGAAATATATTCCAAGCTTTATATATATTAAAAAAATTTTATTTTTTAATAATATATATGAATTCTATAAAATTGTAGAATAGATTTGAAATATACGTATTATCTTTAATTAATTAATTTTTTTCAAGGTCAGAGTACAATTTCTACCCTTTTAAATCCATAATAGCGTATATTTCGATGAGCTTTCTTTTTCATATTCGGTAAATTTGGTAATGTCTGCTCGATCATCCCTCAGCTGTGAGGATCCTCTCTCCAGCACCCCCCTCCGTTCGTCCGGAGCTCACGTTCCCTGGGACATCCTGCGTTGACCCGTCGAAATGTCAGTAGTTATGCCAAACTACTTCAACAGGTCCGCGGCGAACTGCCTAGAGCAAGGTTGACGCCGTGAGGACATCTGGGACGACTGGCTTCGGAGGGGGGTCCAAGCATCACACTCGCATTTCGCTCATCGTCGCTTGCGATACGCGACTAGAAACCGTCGCGCTTTGTAGAAGAGGTTGGTTCTCTGGCGGACTCTTCGCCCTGGGCGGCGGAGGAGCCCGTGGAACCGTCAAATGGATGGATCCATTTGGAGGACCCTGAAAAGTACAGAAATATTTACTTCTTAGAACTATTTTATAAAAAATACTTATATAATTATATATGTATTGTATGTATATAAAGTTTATAAAAATATTTTTTAAATGTTAAGAAAGTTAAATCTTTAATTTATATCGATTTATTTGAAATGATTATTCATAATCATTATTAGTTATTTATTTTCAGATAAAAAATTTTTATACTTTCAGAGTACAACATATTTTGTAATGTTATTAAAGAAGTTTCTAAAGTTATTTATAATATATGCAGGACAGCAGCGGCGTCTCGTATTTTATGATCATAATTTCGATTATACATTATTATGTCTTACTTTCTCAGAGACTAAGACTTAAGTTCGAAAAGTTTGACAGACTTCGCAATGTACTATATTAGAGTAAATACTATGTATATGTATGTATATGTATTAATCTTGTGTCGTGTACGTAATCTTTCCTATAATATATTTTAGATATCTTCTTTATATAATCTATTAATTATTATCAAAAATTTAAATAATAATAATAATACATTGAATTAATTGCACTGTTTGCTGTTGTCGTTTTAAGATTTTTATAATAAAGGAGTAATAATTGTTACAATATATAATTTAATTTATATATTACATATACAATATGAGTAACTGAAGCTGTATTCTCTGACTAACCTATTTTTGGGGGAATTTACTAAGTTTTTAATTTAATTTATTATCACATTTTTATGCAACTTGTTTTGCCAATTTTTCCTCTGTTTAATATTTGATTTTTATTTAAATTTGACATAAACATAAAAAAAAGAAAAAACATGTATTTTTTAATAAATATAACAAAATGTGGTGTTTTTTAATATAGTATGTAAATTTTTTATTAGTAGGACAATAAAAATGTTTCGAAATCATAAAGATTCGGTTTAATTTAATAATTGTATATGTGTACAATAAATTGTATTGATTAGTTACCTTAATTAATTTGTTCTCTGTAGAGGGCTGAAAAATTAGCCGAAATATGTAAGATGTTGTTATTATAATAAAAAAGCGTTATTCGAATAAATGGTTTTTGTCACTTATTAGTGATGTTTTTAATTACGCGACGTCTTCTGCTCCCGACTTCTATTGTCCTTTATTCTCCCTAATTTGTTTCTTAATATAATAACTTATTCTAAAATTTAATTGTTTTTGCATTATTAATACTTTAATTATCCAAATCTTTTCTCCTGCTGCAAAAGCAGTCAAGTGCATTGTATTTTAATAAAAATTCTGTTTAATTTGAAAACTTATAAGATATAATAATGTATATAGTTAAAATCTTTATTTTAATAAATGGAAATTATATTTCTCGTGTTACAAACTTATACGTTTTCTTAATTAAAACAATAAAATTTTTTTAATTTTTTAAAAGATATCTTATTTTTTAATTTGAGAAATTATGTAAACTTTCTAAGTAGAACAAATTAAAAAGTGAATTATAACAATAAATGACAGATAATATGAGTCAGCTGCTGGTTATTGTTAGCGAATATATTTTTTAATATTTCATTTTATGCTCCTTGATTTCCAAGTAGAGGATAGCAGCATATACAAAGCACTAAAAAGGCGCTTATATATGGTAAATACATTTTAGCGCTTTTCTAACGCTTTGTAGGTACAATGTGCTACTTGAGTTTTTCGCCCAAAATACATTTTACTATTTTGTTATTTCATATACATTTTGTATGATTATTTTTCAATTACAATATAAGAATAAATTAGAAGTCGCTTACTTGAGTTTGCGTATTTATGTCTTGAATAATTGAAGTTCGAGGAAGAGTAGCATGTTGCTGTTGGTGCTGTTTTTGATAATGATGTTGATGAGGCAGTGTATGAGTTCCTTGGCCTTGAAAAGGAACGCTAGAATCGTTAGGAGGACCTTTCATTACATTCCTGTAATGATAGAAATAAAAAAAGAATAAGCATAATTGAGACGCAACACATGATTTTCATAAGTCTCATAAATTGATTCACAGCAATGGTTTTACCGCGATGAAAGTAGTGTGAAACATACAATGGCGAATATGTACTTTTTCAATGTTCATTTTTAATCAAACTGAAAATGTAGTTAATTGTGTAACTGCAAATTGCTATATGACTTTTGAAATACAGGTTGATCAACTTTATTAATAGAAAAATAAATAGACTCGGAAATTTAAATACAACGTTATTAGCACTATTTAAAGTTAACAGTGAGAACTTATTTGTACATCTAATAATACATTTACTGTATATTGTTTTCTAGCTTGCTAATTTTAATGTTTAATAATAACACAATCGACAGAATAAAAATGCAAATAAATAATAAGAAATTAAAATAATATTTCAATACCTTCTTAACATTTCATTTTCGACATCGACGATCACTTGGCCGCTACCTGCATAATGAGAATGCGGAGGTGGTGGCTGTTTCAATTCGGTGAAACCACGAGGACCACATTGTTGATTCAACATTTGTTGCTGCTGAAGGCTCTTCACTTCAAGCCGCGTTTTGTCTCTTTGATAATAAACACCAGCAAATATCAGGACATTTAAGATCAGCAGGCTGCAGCCGATCGCGATTGTCACGCTCAAAGCTGTTGAATACGCTGCGTAACTGCATATATAAGAAATTACTTAATTAATACATCAATATTAAAAAAAGGTCCAATATGTTTTATTTCTCGCGAATTTAAAAATTAAAAGGCTTTAATGTTTTAAACAATAATTGTATCATCTAGGTAAACAATAATTTACTTAAATAATAGAAATTGAAATTCTATTAAGATAAAGTTTGCAAAAAATTTTATTTCCAAAGCTATTATGGTAGTATAAGAGTTTTCTAACGAAAGCACAGTTGCCCGGCAGCCATATACGTCGAGAATACCCATACGATGCAATTTTCATGATTCTGAAATATTCCTGCGAAACTGTGGCTACGAAATGACGTTTCGTCTCTTGCCATTTTCTCATGGGCAAAGTTTTACTGGTCGAACATATATATATAGCGACATGTTGGGAACTGCCGATAGATTCGAAACAAGTTAAAGAGCAGAGTGCGCTTCAGCTTACGCTGTTAACGGCACTCAGTTTTGTTGAATTTTTTAAGCATGTTGCAGAGGAATAAAGGCCGAGAATTTTGTCAATGGCAACGGTATATTCTGGATTTACAATCTCATGGTACAGTGCTGTTAGAATCGTTTTTGCTAATCCAATTGTATTCCGATAGAGATGCTTCTTTCATGTCATAGCTTTTTATAAAAATATAATTAGAGCTAGAAAAGATTTGATTTTCATTTTAATTAATATTTATTTCACTCGAATTGTTTCGTATGCTTTGAAAAGGTGCGCTATTTTAACAAATAATTGGAATTTGTATCAATTCGTAAGTTCATTCGGGTGACATAATTCAGTCAATATGAAAATATAATATAATATAGAGATGTTACGTTACTTTAGTTAGTGTCGAGTGAAATTTATTTTAAAAGTATTGATCTCGTATAGATGAAAAGAGGCTTATAGCTAAAAGTACTCTAAATTTGAAAGATAATTTTGATATTATTATGAATTTGGATAATTACCCAGCAGCGTCTAAACTAGCTAAAGTATCAGTGCTGGCATTATGGACGTTTTGAAGATTGGTGCCCGGAATAAGGCTGACGCATGTCGTAATGCTATAATCCGTCGTGGTTGGTGGATCCGTGCTAAGGTTTTTTCTCTTGATTTCTTCACTGATCCTACTCAGAGGATCCGGTCTCACGAAGCCGTCGTATAGACTGGGGTCGCTATGGCCACGGAACAAGTTGTGTCTGGAATCGACATCCTCCATTCCAGCACGATGAAGTTCTGGGACGAGACGCAGCCAGACCGACAGCTGATGCGCTCTATAATGATTCTTCATTTTCGGTTTCATTCCTGTAATCACAAATATTCAATATGACACATGTATACAGAATAAATTGAAATTGTAATTTATTTCTTCTCTGACGACATCTCTTATTGTAACAAAGATAGAAATATTATATAATAATTTTATATATTGTCACAACTTAATTAAAATACATTAACAAAGTAGAAAGAAAATGTATAGATAAATAAGTAATAATAAATATTTCTATATATTTTCGAGGATATACCTTTTGATACAAATGCAGCTTATAAATTAAACAAATTAAATAATATTATTATTAAAATATAAATATAATTTTTTAAAATAATATAGTACAAATATATAATTTACAAAGTTCTATACTCATTAAAATATAATATGTTATTATAAATATATGTATATTATGGAATATAAAGAATCCTATAATGCTAATGAGAGAAATGGCATATTAGTGATAAACTGCATATCGCATTCCAAGTAATCCTGTGCAGTCTCTAGTTTTGCGCGATAATCTATTTCCGATAGCTTGGATGCAGTTGTGTGTGCAGCTTCACGGTTGATCTTGTTACAATGCGATGGGGCATGCAACTAGCTTGATGTTGCCAAATTCTGTTTTATAACTGCAGGTTGGAAAGAGGTTCTTTCTTAAAAAATTCAACAAGACAATTTTATCTCTCGATTGTTCTTAAAGTATAAATTTTCAAAACCTCTCTTGAGTTTTGAAAAGAACTCCAGTTTATCTATTACTATAGGTCTCTAATTGTTTCATCCCATTGACAGTTATTCTATTTTAAACATGTGAGTGTGTGTGTGTTTGTAAATTTATAAATAAAAACTCTTACATTAAAGTTCGATTTCAGCAAAGTTTATTCTAGCGTTTGCAAACAGCCAAAGGAATATCCTTAACTTACCAGGTCGGTATCTCATATACAGTTTATTTGCTTACGCGTCTATTTCGCTGATTTTAGCTAGCGCTTGTTTTGCCATACCATCGCTGTTTCACCGTAAGAGACGCAAAACTCTTTGGAGCGCGCCGAATCGCAGGAGTCCTCAAAGGAATCCGTTTTGATTTACGCTTCGCGGTAGCTCGTTTAATATTCGCAAATGCTTTGAAAAGGATACGATCTCACTACGTGCGCAGTATCATGCGACTCGTTCGATTACAGAACGAAAATATAGATAACGTCCTTCCGATAAATGGAAACACAAAATTTACTTGATCACTTTCTTACGTCGTTTATTTCGTTCATATATTTGATATAACGACTGATTTAGAAGGAAAATTGTAGATATGGTTTTAGATATCTGATGTTTAGTGATAGTACGTGGTGCGTTTGTACCGAATTGCAATCCTGAGACAGAAATCCTGCATACAGATTTCATCCGGGAAATCCGATTAGTATTATAGTTAGTTAGCTTGCAAGAGAAGATATACATCACATACGGGATCTACACGAATATAGTTATTACTCGCTTGCGAAATATCAGTTAATGTAAAACGACTTATTAGCAAATCTTCTGAAACGCTTTAGATTTTGCAAACAAACTAACTTTTTCTGTTAAAATTATAATATATGTAATACTCGAAGAGGAAAAGCAGCAAGCATTTTATTAAAAGCTAAAATTTGCATTGCATGCTTTGTGTCTAAATTGTATTTATTCAGAGATTAAAAAGAAAACTTTATTTATGTGTGTTACTTTATTTATGCTACTATATACAATACCAATAAAGAACATTCAATATCGACTTTAAATATATGTATAAAAGATTTGAATACAGAAACGAGACATTTTCATTACAATAATAATAGAAAATAATACATAACAAAACTCTGAATTTATTTATAACGTTATTTATAATTTTAAATATTTAAAATAATATTAAACTTTTAAATAGTAACTATAAGATAAAATATGCATATTAGTTTCTTTTAAATACTTTTGGAAATTTTTTTCAGAATTTTAGATTTTAATAGTTTTCTTTTAACGCAAGAGAAGTAAAGTTAATACTTTGGAGAATATTGTGTTGATTAGCATTTTATATATATATTGTGTAATCTATGTATTTAATTATATTCGATATTAAATCATCGAAAGGATTGTGACATAAGTCTGCTGAATATAAATATATATATATATGGTATATATGAAACGATAAAAAACTAATTTATATATGGAAAAGATAGTAAGAGAGATTCTATGAAAAAAATACGCGAAATCTTTAATCGAAAAGAAATTCGTAACGAAGAATCGCACAAATCATCAATTAATGTTAAATTAATCGCTACCCAGTAATTCGTGTCCCTTTTATCCTTTCCTTCCTTCCGAAATTGGCAAATATAGATTCATGATTTCAACGGGAGAAATACCATACTGATTATACATGCACACATTATGATTTAATGTCCACGAATAATGGCTATCGCTCACATCCATCCAGATAATCATTTGTGCAGTGTTTGAGTTGGTACATGTTACATATATTAAAATATTAGCTTTCTCTTTATTTCTTTCTCTCAAAGCTTTTACGATTATTAAAAATCGTATGAATGATATATCGCTACAAAAATTTACATTGATCAAAAAATGAATCCAAGAATATGTAGACACAATTTGTTAAATATTTCTTAATATATGGTAAAAGTAGAATTGATGGATTATTCTCCTAGAAAGATTAAAACATTTTCGTTAAAAATAATTCCTTATTTATTTAATATTTTTTATTAGAATATTTATCAGATTTTTTTATTGTCTCTCTAATTTGTTACAATTAATATTAATAATAACATTCCGAGATAACATTAATATTTCAAAACATTATTCAAAAACGACATTTTTTTTTAGAAATTAATTTTTTTAATGCAAACAGCTTAAAGTTTCTTTGTAATCTCTCGGATAAACTTTCATGAATTTTTTTTCATGACAGCATCTGTCGATATTGGCAAAGTATTTTTCAATAAAGTTTTTTGTCGCATGAATATATCATATCATATTTAGCTCAATCACGAACGTTGACTTACGTTCAGACTTATCTAAATTTTAATTTGTATTACATTAACATATCTGAGAAAAAGGAAATATACATATTACATGTAGGTACTTTTTTTTAAATTGAAAATTATAATTTAAACTTCACATAGAGTTTTTGATTATTTTGTTATTTTTCATCTTATTATTGTGATTTAAAATTTCAATTCTTTAAATATTGAATCACTCTCTTCTCTTCAAAGTCTTCTAAATTTTTAAAACTAATGGTTCTCATATTTTTTAATTTTCAAGATTTTAGTTTAAAATTCGGCGTTCTTATTATTTCTTTAGATACAGTAATTCCAGGATTTAACCTAGTAGAGCTAAGAAAATTGTTGAAAGCGTATTTGTAAAAATAACGTAAATCGTAATGCGTGTCACGTTTCTAGGAGCTATCCTGGCCAGGATATCTGTCCTCCAGTGACCCGATTCGTGTGATCGAGGTACAGTAGGAGCTTTGAGAATCGATGCAACCGACGTCACTACGAGTTTATTTCAATTTTCAATCTAATAAGAAATTCTTTCGCGACTATTTTTCAACCCGCCTCATCTCCGGCAGACCCCCTACGCGAGGTAGATTTGTCTCTCGATCTTTTTCAGCGACCTCCTACGTTCTCCGCTATCTCTCATGGCACTAGCGTCACCCCTTCCGCTATATTTCCCTCATGGAACTTCCCTATCGCTCACCTCCCTCAGTCCCTCTTCTTCTTCTCAACCTAACCTCACCCCTCGTTCTCATCGTATCGTTGCAGATTCCCCGTACTTTTTACACGACTTATCTCCTACTATCTGCTACAGTTACCTTCGCTCACGTAGTGACACTCCCTTCTTCACTGCACCGTCCTCATTTGTTCCACAAAATTGTCCGAGAAAATGATGATATCTTCGCCAGATACATAACCGCTGCCCTCGAGCGATGATTATTTTACGATCGGCAACCGAGCGCTTCGTCGTCTATTTTATTATATGCTAGATGGATGGACGGACGAATAAAGTTATCAAGTCGACCACAGAGAAGTTCGTCTTGGAAAAAAGTTGACGGATTCTCACACTGATCGTAATATTTTATTGAAAGAATTTTTCTTGTTGTGTTGAGAATTCATAAAGTTGGAGAAACTCTATTCGCTCTTGATATTTCAAAGTATATTGTTGAAGTGCTATATGCAACTTACAAATGAGGTAGCTGGTAGAATAGAAGAGTACTTGATGATATAATATCTATTAGAGAATACCAATTAAATAAAAATGTATTTATTTTAAATTCAACATTTTACATGTTTTAAAAATATAATAAATTATGATATATATATTCTTTGAGCATTTTAAGGTATTTTAAGTTGGAATACTGTATAAAAAACAAAAAATAATAAAAAAAGTGCAATATAAAGGTATATAGTAAAAGTTATTTGCAATATAAAAAACCAGGAGACCAATTAAAGAAAAATGCATTTATTTTTAATGTAACATTTTTATATATTTTAAAAATACAAATAGCGATATTTTTTAATGATTAAAGCGTTTAATCTACCACTGAATGCAATAATAAGAGCTTCGGCCTTTCAAGCTCATTATCTTTAATCTTTAAAATGCTTGAATTCTCTCTCTTTCTCTCCTCCCTCTCTCCTACCCCTATCTCTTCTGCCCCGTCTCTTTCCTTGAAATTCTAAAAGAATACTTTATGCTTTATAAAAATTGAAAACTTGGTCTCTTTTACCAGATTTATGTACGCAGATTTAATAAAAATTTCTTTTTATTTTATTACTTTACTTTTGCAATTAACTGATTAGAACAAACTTTCCTTCTTTTAAAATAACCATTGGAAAATCAGGAAATTATTTTCATCGAGCGCAAATACTCGGCACAGAAAATCCGAATATCTGACGAAATCGGGAACAATCGAGAAGAGAAGAAGAATAGGAGGATTATCGGTCGAAAACTTCTCGTTAATTTCTTCTTTTTGACGATATTTACTTCCTCCTAATCCATTAAATGGTCCGTT